CTCATGAGACAGGGAGAGCAGTACGAAGTGCCTTTCACTTCCTTCGTGGGAAAGATGCGGGATGAATGACAAGAAGCGGAGTGTGGTACTGTGTGCTTGTAGTCCAGGTGCTGGGAAAGCTGAGGCAGGGGGCTGCTTAAGGTAAGAGTTTGAGTGTAACCTGGGCAATATAATAAGACTTCATCTCAAAAAATAAAAATTAAAGATATTCATAAGAATAGGTTATAATGAAGCCAATAGCTGCACTGGGGCCCAAGGACCCCGAGCGTTCTAGAAAGTAGTGTTTAGCGTTCTAGAAAGTAGTGTCTAAAACGTAAACCCTGTGGCCTCATACTGTCTGTGGGCTGCGACTGTCTAGCTACCAGGACCATCACACTTCCCTTTTCTTTCTTTTCTGAAGACTTATTTTATTTTTAAGTGTGTGGCTGTTTTGCCTACATGCATGTGTTTGTATGTATGTACACCACATGTGTGTCTGGTGCTCATGGAGTCCAGAAGAGGGTATCAAATCCCCTGGAACCGGAGTTGGAGTTGCAGATGATTGTGAGCCACCGTGTGGGTGCTGGGAACTGAAGCCAGAACCTCTAGAAAAGCAGCCAGCACTCTGAACCATCTCCTCACCATCCAATCCCCTAACTACAGCATTCAGCATGACCTTAAAAACATCACCATGTGGATGATTCTGTGTCCCCTCAATCTGGGGGTGAGAGGGTGGTAGAAAGGAGGAGATAGGAGTGAGACCATGGAGAAATGGGACAGTTAAGAGAGGAGAGGGATGACGTGGGAGAGCAATGAAAAGAGAGATCTTGATAGAGCCCCTATGGGGTTAGAAAGAAACCTGGTGCTAGAGAAATTCCCCAAAATCCACAACAGTGACCCCAAATAAGAGTCCTATCAAGAGTGGGCTGGGTGCCTGACTGAACTTCCCCTCTAGTCAGATTGGTGGGTACCACAACTAACATCATAGAGCCTTCATGCAGCAACTAACAGAACAAGATGCAGAGATCCACAACCATCCACCACGCCAAGCTCCAGAAATCCAACTGAAGAGATGGAGGAGGTAATACATGAGCAAGGGAGGTAAAGATCATGAGGGAGCGTTGGGAGCTGTGAACCCCCAGATCCTGAAACAACTTGTTTTCCCCTGATCTGAGTGCCTACAGCTGCTCTGAGCAGGAGACCTCAGGAGTTCCTGATGGCAGGAGAGTGGTTTCTGGTGAGTTTGGCTGGGGCGTGGCTATCCCTATATAAGCTGCCCCTGAACACAATAAAGGAGGCATTCTTGGGGCATTCTGGCATCAAGGATGACCTGTATCTCTCTGTGCATCTCTGTGTGTTTCAATCTCCAGCCCCTTGCCCAGTTCTCGAACTGTCCGGTGGTGCCTTGAGCACAGACAGGTGTGGTACGCCTCAAGGGAGAAATCTACAGAGACAGCTGATCCAAGCTCACAGGAACTCGCGAACCCTAGACTGACAGCTGTGCAAACTGCATGGGATCGGACTAGGTCCTCAATATGTGGGAGACAGTGGTGAAACTTGCACTATCTGTGAGACCCCTGGCAGTAGGACCAGGATCTATCCCTGGTGCATGAGCTAGCTTATTGGAGCCCATTGCCTATGGTGGCAGGCCGTGCTCAGCCTTAATGTGGGGGATGGAGGTTGGTCCTGCCACAACTTAACGTGTCAGACTTTGTTGACTTCACATGGGAGCCCTTACCCATTGAGAGAAGTGGATGGGGTGGGGTTGGGGGGGAGGCAGAAGTGGGCAGGAGGAGGAGGAAGAGGGGAGAACCGTGGATGAAAAGTAAAATAAAATTAAAAAATAAATTAAAATAAAAAGATAAAGTGGTGCCTATGGCAGATTGGCCTATGCCCACCCTGGTGCAAGCATTTCCCACGGGCAACTGAGTTTCATGGACCTGCTCATGGGAATGCTTCCAGGTCGCTCTGCTTGCCTGACTGATTTTGCTCAGCATGCTCCCCAGTCGGGTTCTGCTCTACCTCCACACTGGCTCTAACTAATCAGATTTGTTAGGTGTAGTTACTTTCAGCTCTGCTAGGTCTCATAGTCATTCAGGTGCTGCACCAGGACCTGCTTTAGTGCCACAGCCGTGACACCTGCAAGCATCACTCTTCTATCCTAAAATTCTCATACACACCAGCTACCAGAACAGTGACTCTACCTGCCAAAAAAAAATTTAAGGCTAATGAGGTCTGGGGAGGTAGCTCAGCTGATACAGTGCTTGTGGACCTGATTCCAGCACCCTCATAAGAAAGCCAGACCTGGTGGCTCAACTCAGCAGCCCCAGTCCTGGGGGTGGAGGGAGTAGCAGGAAAGTGCAGAAGCAGGAGAATCTGTGGAGCCAAATGGCTAGCCAGCCAACCAGTGAGCTCCAGATTCAGGGAGATACCTTATCTCCAGCCTAATGAAAACATTTAAAAGTATTTCTTTGAAAATAAATAAGTAGATATTGATTGATGAAAACAACCAATGTTCATCTCTCGTCTCCACACACTAGCACATACATATGCACACACACACACACACCACACACACAAACATGTGCACCATATACACACACACCACACACACATCACACACAAACATATGTGCACCATACACACACACACACACACACACACACACACACAAAGAAGAATGCATAAAGAAAAAATTGCTTGATTTGACCTTTGGACATGTAAATGTCTAAAATTTATGGTTGAAATTGCAGCCATGGTAGGAATGAGGACAGATAAGCAGGTAGTACAGAAAAGCATGGGATTGGATCAGGCACGCACTCCCAGGATTGTGAAAGTGTATGTGCGCTCATCTCAGGAGCGGAGCGCTAGAGTCATCAAAGGACAGAATTGGAAGCACCTGAACATTTTGGGAAAGATGTTAGATTCTTTCTTTCCTCTTTGTTCACAAAATAACCAGGTCAGCAGGGTCTTGTGGCACAATGGTGGGAAGTCCTTTATAGCATGGTGTGGGGTATGGTTAGCGGCCTAACTCTAGGTAATTATTGAACATCTTAAATGGAGCTCATGCACTAGGAGACCACATTTTCTGTTTTGATGGACTGGAAGTTAAAATTAAACAGTTATTTGTGGTTAGTGTCAACCACATCAAAGAATATAGCTCTACACAAACTAATAGTACTATTAATAGCCTAGGAACTAGGGCCTGGAGAAATGGCTCAGAGGTTAAGAACACTGGCTATTAAGAGCACTGGCTCTTGCAATAGATCTGGGTTCAATTCCTAGCACCAGCAAGGTGGCTCACAACCATCTGTAACTCCAGTTCCAAAGGATCTGAGCCCTGTCTGACTCTTAAGTACCAGGCATGCATGTGATATACAGACACACATGCAGACAAATCATTCATACACATAAAACAAGATTTAAAAATGATATAGGGGCTGTGGTAGTTTGAATGTAATTGGCCCCCATAATCTCATAGGGAGTGGCATAATCTCATAGGTGTTGGAGTAGGTATGGCCTCCTTGGAGGAAATGGTGTCACTGGTGGGGGCAAGCTTTGAAGTTTCCTATGCTCAGGATACTGCCCAGTGTCTCAGCCAACTTCCTATTGTCTGCAAGACTTAGGATTCTCAGTTATATCTCCAGCACTATGTCTCCCTGCACGCTGCCATGCTCCCCACCATGATGATAATGAACTATGCTGTCTGGTTTTGTGTGTCAACTTGATGCAAGCTAGAGTCAACAGAGCAAGGCGCCTCCATTGCAGCAAGGCCTCAGTGAGATACAGCTGTCAGGCATTTTCTCATTTAATGATCCAAGGGAGAAGGCTCAGCCCATGGTGGGTGGTGTCGTCCCTGGGCTGCTGGTCCTGGGTTCTATAGAAGGTGGGCTGAGCAAGCCACGTGAAGCAAGCTAGTAAGGAGCACCCCTCCATGGCCTATGTGTCAGCTCCTGCCTCCAGGATCCTGTCCTGTTTGAGTTCCTGCCCTGACTTCCTTCAGTTATGAACAGCAATGCTGAAGTGTAAGCCAAATAAGCCCTTTCCTCCCCAACTTGCTTTTTAGTCATGGGGTTTTGTCCCAGCAGTAGAAACCCTAACTAAGACGTGGTCTGAACCTCTAAAACTCTAAGCTAGTTCCAAATAAATGTTTTTATTTATGAGTTGCTGTGGTCATGGTGTGTCTTCATAGCAATAAAAACTAAGACAGAGGCTATTTCCTGGGAACCCAGGAATGGTCCTGACCATAGCCCATTATCCTGGCCAGTATTTAATTAAAGCTTTCTTCAAAAAAAATCTTATTGGAAAGAAAAACTACCAAGGCATGGAAGAGGCATGTGCATAAAATTCTAGAACCTGGGAGGCTAGGACAGGAAGATTGAGAATTCGAGACAAGTATGAGCTACCTTGTCTCAGAAAAGGAGGCAGCCTACTAGAATAAAACGGAAATGCATATTTATGTAATCTTGAGGCAAGAGTCATTTTGATATAATATTAGAAACAGAAACCATAAAAGAAAAAAGGCTTCAACTACCTAAACATATAAAACCTTAGAGTACATGAAATCCAGTCTATTAAAAGGCACACACAGGTAGAAAAAAATACCTTATAGTAGACCAGTAAAGGATTGTTATTTTGTGTATAAACATTACTAATTAATTAGAAATTAATCCATTACCAATTTCTGACTAATTTCTAATTAATTGATTCACGTTAATTGTGAATTGATCAATAATAAATGAAATGAGCTTCGAAGAACAAGCGAAAAGCATGAATAAGAAATCATACAAGTGCGAGCGGCCAGGGTCAGAGAGATAGATCAGCGGGTGAAGGTGGCCGCCACAAAGCCTGACAATCCAAGTCCCAGCCCTAGGAGCTGTGTGGTACAAGAGTCAACCAACCGCAAGTTGTCCTCTGACTTCATGGGTCCCCTGTGGCATATATACATACATAATTTTTTTAAGATGCTGCCCTGGGGGCAGGATACATCAGCAGTAAGAGCTTACCTAGGGTGTAGGTGGCCCAGGGTTAGGGGAGCAAGTATTTCCTATGTTGTATGTACAATGCAGGTATTTGTCTATGTTGTATGTACAGTGTAAACTGTGTAACTTGAAGCAGTTTTCCTGTAGAGAAATTTAGCAATAAAGATCAAGTTAAACATTTTTAGGTCAAATCTCAAGAAAGTTGGCTTTCTTTTTAATCTGTCACATATCCATACAACTCTAGGGAGCCATTGGAAGCTGAGTCCTGGGAGTGCCAGGAGGCCACAAGCCCTGCCATTCCCTAAGTCTCCACTTAGCTTTGTGTCAAGCGTGTCATTGGCAGAAACGCTTCTCTTCATTCTCAGTACAGCCTCATGCAGCCAATACTGTCTCCAGGCCCCAAGTTCAGAGTGGCCAATGTGCAGCCAGAACTGTAAGGGGCTGAGACTCCAAGGCCACAGACAGCACTGAGACTTCTTGCAGGGTGCCTGCCTCCAGTAAGATGACCCTAAACAAAGACACTTCTATCCCCAGCTCTCCTGCTAGGAGCCAGCACTTTACAGGGATGCACACACATACCCAGGACCACAACAGACCGTGACCTACAGCGCTCATAGATGCTTGCCCTCTTTTCCTGGGCCCCAAGGTAAAGAAAGTTGGAGCTGGAATGTAAGGAATCTGAAGAGACTCACGGATTCAATGGGGGCTGAGGAGGGTAGAGCCTTCTGAAAAGGAATTTGGGGAATTGAGTGTGCTCGGCCTTTTCCATCTGCTTCTCCACTAGGACCTGCCAAATGACAAGGGAATGCTGCGTGAGTGCCCATCCTTGTCTCATCCATCTCACACACTGAGCTGGGGTGCAGGTTCTCCCTGGGGAGGGAGAGCTGGAGACGGCTGAGCCCGAGACAGTCCAATGGGCTTAGGGGAAAGGGAGTGGGTGGGGAAAGCCCAACACCATTTGGTCTCCATCAAGACTCAGAAAGCAACTTAGGCCAGCCCTGTCACCAAGAGTTGGGCTTATAGCATAGCCGTGGCAGCTGGGACGTTTTCCAGAGTGGCCGGACTTAACTGACTGCACAGGTCAAAGGCTGGAGACCCTGTATCAGCGTGATCTCTCCTGGGTCTGGCAGAGTGGAATGAGGCAGTTTGCTGGGACAAAGACAGAGTGTGCAGAGGTCATTTTTGTTTTTCGTTACAGGCCTGCCTATTTCTTCAAATAAATGCCTTTTGCTTTTGTTTCTGTGTTTTAAAGACATTTTCAAAGTAGCTATGAAAACAGTCATGTCTGTTCTGTTGAGCCTTAGCTGTAGTCTGTGGAGCAAGGCGCTAAGCCAGGCTGTATTCTGTTAAGGCCAGGGGTACTCACACTTCCTCCAGGCTAGCATTCCCTGGGATGTTTGTTTAGAACATTCCCAAGTTCTTCCTTAGCCCTGCTCAGTCAGAGTCTCCAAAGCTGGAGAAGAGCTCTGTCCTTCACATAAAGAGACATGCCTTACAGGCGTTGCTGCAAGGTTACAGGACACTTCTCCAACTCCCAATTTTAGACAAAAGAAAAGAATAGGCTGAGTCTATGATCGCTGAGTCTTTCTGTCCTTTGTGTCCCCAACATGCTGTACAATAGCTCCAGGGCTTATGTGAACTTCTTCATAGGTCTGGGACACACCAGGAACCACAGAGAGGCAGCGGTGGGATGGGGACTCAGCCTGGAGCTGGGTTTAGGACATGGGAGTCTTAGTTTGGTTCTCTGACAGTTATGTGGCAGGGCAGCATTGTGAAGCTTTCCTACTGTTGGATTGACCTACACACACACACACACACACACACACGCACACGCACACAGACAGACACACACACACACATATACACAGACAGACACACACACGCACATGCCCTTTCACCCTGGCACATCACAATGCACATTTAATAACAGACTCAGAGAACCCCTAAATCAAAGCTGCTTAATTCAATTTAACCAAGCATTTCCTTTGCTGACTGTAGAACCATGTTCACTTTTCAAGGGACACTAATTGACAGCCCACATCCCTGGCTCGTTCTTGGGGAGCATTGACACAGAGCTTCCCGCTGCTCAAAGCATCTCTCTTCAAAATGATACTGGCACCACTCAAAGTGGGTCATGATTTCTTTTGCCTTCCTTCATTTGTGCTTTTCTTTTTCTTCTTTTTGTTTCCTTCCTTTTCTCAGATTAGTTTGTTTGTTACCATTAGGATCTATTCTACTAAGACCATAACGCACGTTTCTAGGCTAATGTCACTTGAAACAGAGAACAATGGTAACTGCTTATAACAGTTCAACAGTATGATGTCATTAAGAGGATAGACACAAAGGCCTGGTGTGCTGCCTGGCATGCCAGCACGTGGGTGACTGAGGCAAAAGGATCATGAATTCAAGACAAGGCTGGACTACAAAGGAGAAACGGTCTCAAAAAAGATTCAAACAAAGAAAAGGAATTCACTTGGAGCTAGCGAGATGGCTCAGGAGATAAAGGCACTTGCCAACTAATAGGTTTTCTGTACCCCAAGATAGCTTTGTCCACCCATGTAGTAAGCCAGATCAAGCCAAATTTAAGTAGATAACAGTTTTATTTGAACAATGCAACTCCCAAGTGTGTTCTCCAGTCCCAGAGATGGGGGCTGGAGACGCCACCCATCTGAACAAAAGCAGGGAGATTATATAGGCTGTAGGTGAGAAGAGATGATGTGTCTGCCACAAACTGGATTTGTGCCCAAGTATGGCCAAAAGCTGGATGCTTTAGGCAGGGACTTGGGCGGCTGGCAACTTCAGGGGAGGAAACTGCCTTAGCCACCAAGAGTGTGGAACTGGGCTTTTTAGTGCCTTCCCTTTATTTGGAGATTCTCTGAGTGGTTGGGGTTTGGAGAGAAAGGAATGGGGTTTCTCAGACATGAAATAGTGAGCTGGAGGCTCCAACTGAACACCACCAAGTCTGAGTTAGATCCCTGGGCCTCACACATTGAAAGGAGAGAACCGATTTTTCCAAGCTGTTCTGACTTCCACATGTGTGCGTCCGTCTGCTGCTGTACTCACAAAGGTATGGGTGCACAATAAATAATGGGATTTTTAGTTTGTTTGAGACAGGGTCTTACTATAGCCGTGACTGTCCTGGAATCTACTATGTATACCAGGCTAGTATCAAACTCATAAAGATCTATGTGCCTCTGCCTCCCAAGTGCTAAGATTAAAGGCATGTGCTACTATACTTGGCACAATAAATAATACAATTTTAAAATAAATGTATGTGTCTGTGTCTGGGTATGTGCCCATGAGTACAGGTGCCTGCAGAGGCCAGAGGTGTCAGATCCTCTGGAGTTTGAGTTATAGGTGATTGTGAGCTGTCAGGTATGTGTGTTAAGGATTGAACTCAAGTCCTAGAAGAACAGTCTGAGCTTTTGAAGATGGCTGTGCCATCTCTCCATAACCCAATAAATGTAATTTTTAAATTAAAAAAAAAGTCCCTTGAAATTTTTTCTCGTGTGGTTGGATATAAACTTGCATAAAAAGTTAAGTTCTCTCTCTTTTTTTTTTCATTTGCTTTAGATTTTTAAGATTGATCTGTCTTAGCTTTCATAGTACCAGAAGGTTTTATGTAGATTGCTAGGGGGAAATACTCTTAATAGTCTCACCCAACTGTGTACTACAATAATGACTGATGTGGCCAATATATGCTCATGCATGCATCAATGGCATGGATTATGGGGTAACCAATGGCTTTCGGATTCTATGTAGGCCCAGTCCACAGGCTGAAACACATGTCTGGCCAAGAACCTGGGTGGTGAGCTCACATGGCTCAGTGGTGCACCTGCTGCTGTTGATCTGCTAAATGGGCATGGTAAATCAAATTGTCTTCTAAGTTCATTCTTTAGTCCCACAGATGAGTTTAACTCTTAGACCTCATCAACGAAGTTTCTCTCTGCCGTGAACAGCGGTTAGTGCAGAAGCTTATAACCAATCAAAGTGCAGAGGATAAGCGTCAGTGGGGTGCTACGCCATTAAGAGGGCTCCATATCACACATGCCCCATAAGGCTCAGGAACCATCAAAGAGAGATCGCAAAGGACTGGAGCTATGCCCCCCTCTGGACATGACAGGCCTGCAGACTGACCCACGGCAGCTGTGGTTGCCCGATAAGATCAAGCCAGCTAAGGTATGGAGCGTGTTGTCATTTAAGAAAAGCAGCCTGCGAGAAAAGGATGCCATGCGACAGAACTCACTTGGAGGGGTTTTTATTGGGGGAAAAGGAATGTAAACAGAGGGATGTGGAGAGGGGAGACTGGTCTCTAGGGACAGGAGCAGCAGAAGAGAAGAGAGAGAAGGAGAAAGAGGGGGAAGAGGGGAAGAGAGAGAGAAGGAGAGGGAGGAGGGAGGAATGGAGGGAAAGAGGGAGAGACAGGAAGACAGGCAGAGAAGGAGAGGGGAAGAGAGAGAGAGAGAGAGAGAGAGAGAGAGAGAGAGAGAGAGAGAGAGAGATGGAGATGGCCCAAGGCCCACCTTTTAAAGGGGAACAGAGAGAATGTGCACAGGAGTTGAGCTTGGTGGCTGCAGCTGAGGACCTCAAGGGCAGGCCAGTACAGATGCCTGAATAATAACAGAGGGGGAGAAGGGTCCAGAAGCCTTTTCCTATACATGGCTTCTAAAAACGTGTAACTTTCCCTTTGCAAACACATGCACCAGACACCTTTCATAAATTCTATTCATACTTTTCTCTACTTGCTTCTTTTCATGTGCCGAGGCTCTGAAACAGAAATTCTCTTGGAATTTTGCCACACTCATTCTTATTTTGGGTTTGTGATGGTTTGAAAGAAAATGGCCCCCACAGGCTTGCAGGGAGGGGCCTAATTAGGAGGTGTGGCTTTCTGGAGGAAGGGTGTTGTTGTTGTTGGAGGAGGTATGGCACTGGGGGTGGGCTTGGAGGTCTCAGAAGCTCAAACCATACTCAGTGTGGCAGACTCTTCTTGCTGCCTGTAGATCCGTACAGAACTTTCAGCGCTTTCTCCAGCACCTTGCCTGCCAGTGCACCACCATGCTTCCCACCCAGGTGATAATGAGCTAAACCTGAACCGTAAGCCAGCCCCTATTAAATGTTTTCTTCCACAAGAGTTTGTTGTGGTCATGGTGTCTTTTCACAGCAATAGAAACCCTAACTAAGTCAGGTCCCGTCCTGACTTCTGCGCCTACAATGGCCGCAGGTCATCACAGTTGCCCTGTCACCGTGAGATACCTGGCCTAACATCCTTTCTCCTAACCAGTGCTTTGCAGCCTGCAGGGCACTGTTTCTCTTCCCCTGCGCTCAGGCCTGGAAGCTGTGGAGACCAAGTCTCTTGCCATGAATGTGTGTGGTTTGTGCTGCTGCCAACAATAGAGATGGGCAGAGCTTTGCAGTGCAAGGAAAGTCTGAGAAAGTGCTCAAGGAAGAGCAGAAACAAGAAAACGACTGTGTCTAGTCCTTCTGCCTGGCACAAAGACACACGCGTGAGGAGGCCAGGTGTTAACCTTTTTGTTTTGCTATGTAGCCTTGGCTGGCTTAAGAATATGAAGGCCAAAAAAAAAAAAAATTAAAAAAAAAAGAGTATGAAGACCAGGCTGACCTCAAAATCATAGAGCTCTTCCCTTTGCTTTCCAAGCACCTGATTAAAAGCATTGGCAGACACACACAGTCAAAGTTCAGTCTTGGGTGTCACTCCTCAGGAGCTACCCACCTTGGCTTTTGTTGTTGTTATTGTTTTGTTGTTGTTGTTTTGAGCCCGGGTCTCTCCTGGCACCTGGGGCTCGCCCATTAGGCTAGGCAGCTTGCCAGTCAGCCACAGGGGCTGACTTATCTCTACTTTCCCTGAGTTGGGATTACAAGTGTGTACATAAAAGTGTACATTGCCACACCCAACCTTTTACAAAGATGCTGGGGGATCGAACTCAGGTCCCCAGGTTTTCATGGTAAGCACTTCAAATGAGCTGTCTCTCCAGCCCTTGCAGTAGATTCTAAAAGAATAAAATAGAATGTCCTACTATGCAGAGTGAGCCTGTTCCCTGTTGCCATGCTAAGAGTATATTGCAAAACATTTAGGTTTTAGCCCATCTGAAAAGTTAGAGATGGCATCTGTGCAGTTTTTTTCTTTTACCTTTTTGTTTTGTTTTGTTTTGTTTGTTTTTCAAGACAGGATTTCTCTGGGTAGCCTAGGCTGTCCTGGAACTAGCATTGTAGACCAGGCTGGCCTTGAACTCAGAGATCTGCCTGCCTCTGCGTCTGCTGGGACCATCCAGCTCTTTTACTATTGTTTTTTAAATTTTAGTTAATTTCTATTTTGTGTGCATTGGTGTATATATATATGTACATGTACATCTGTAAAAGAATGTCAGATCCCCTGGAACTGGAGCTACAGACAGTTGTGAGCCGCCATGTGGGTGCTGGGAATTGAACCCAGGTCCTCTGAAAGAGCAGTCAATGCTCTTAACCACTGAGTCATCTCTCCAGTCCCATCTTTTACTATTCTTATGATGAGATAAATGAAGCATTTTGGGTAGGATCACAGCCCAGGATCACATGCCCAGGGAATGACACAACCCACAATGAAACAGGAATTCCTACATCAATTGACAATCCAGAGAGTCCCTCACAGGCATGTCCATAGACCAACCTGATAAAGACAATCACACAATTAATTAACACTGGTTCTCAGGTCTAGGCTGTGTCAAATTGGTAGTTAATGCTAACAAAGACAGGGGCTGAAGAAGAAGAGGAGATAAGTTATTTAAGAGATCTGCAATTCCCGCACATCTCAATTGTATCATGAACTAAAATTTTTGATTCTGCTGGATAATAATATAGGTTGAACATCTCTAAATTAAAAATCTGAAATCCTGAATGCTCCAAAATCTGAAACTTTGGGATGTAAGAACATGATGCCACGGGGGAAAGTTCCACACACAACCTCATGTATGTTAGGTTGCTGTCGAAATGCAAGCACATGAAAAATATTGAATATAATTACCTTTGGGAAGCTGGGTGTTGGTGGTGCATGCCTTTAATCCCAGCACTCAGAAGGCAGAGGCAGATGGATCTCTATGAGTTCGAGGTCAGCTTCATCTACAGAGTGAATTCCTGGACAATCTCCAAAGATACACAGAGAAACCCTGTCACAAAAAATAAAACAAAAAAATTACCTTTGGGCTATGTGAATAAAATATCCATGAAGCATAAATGAATTTCAGGCATTCGCTTGGATCTCATCTCCAAGATAAACTCATCATGTGTATGCAAATATTCTAAGATCACAAAAATTGACAGTTTCATAAGAGATAACCCAACCTACCCTTGGATGATTAAAATGTGTCCTGTCACCCCAATTTACATGTTCAAACCGAACCCCGATTTGATAACATTAGGAGATAGGGCAGCCAGTAGGTGGTTGGCTCATCAGAATGGGGCCTTCAGGAGGGACCTTAGTATAAAAAAGACTCCGAAAATCTTTCTTTCTGTCACAGGAAGACACCGGAAGAGTTGTCAGTCTAAAGAGGATCCGCACCAGAATGCAGTCAAGTTCTCATCTTGGTCTTCAACCCCACCCATCAGGACTGAGAAAGGAAGCCACAGTCTCTATATTCAGCAGCCTGCACAGACGAAGCCTCACACTTGTCTCACAGGACTGTTGAAGAATGGCAGGGGACAAGGCCTGCAAACTGCTCAACACGGTGCCTGCAATATGAAAGTCTTAAACACATGCTAGCTCTTTGACATTTTATGATCAGAAAACAGTTGCTTGGTGGCAGAGTGGGGGTGGGAAGGTGAGAGGGTCGGGGTGTAGGGGGGCAGTGGGATGGGGTTTGGCGCTCAGTTGCTAAAACACTAACTTAACTACCCATAACTAGGTTTGATTTTCCCTAGGACTGCCTGGGTATGGCAGCACATGTCTGTAATCCCAGTACTCAGAAGATGGAAGCAGGAAGATCAGGAGTTCAAGATCATCCTTGGCTAGATAGTGATTTCAAGACCAGCCTGGGGTGCCCGAAGCCCAGTCTCAAAAGAAAAACAGTTGCTGGGCTGTAGAGATGGCTCAGAGCTTACGTCTGCTTGTTTTTTTTTTTTTTTTAAGACTTGGGTTCTAGCCCAGCACCGACATGGAAGCTCAAAACTATTTATAACTCAAGTTTCAGGGGATCTGACACTCTCTTCTGGCTTCCGCCGGCACCGAGCACACAGGTGTTACAAATACATATGCAGGAAAAACATCATACACAGAAAATGACGAATTCTAAGAAAAGTATTTAAACCATATCATTGAGCTGCATGAAAAGACCAGATCCAAGGATGAAAGGCAGTGGGAATGGCGAGTCTTTAGTGGTAATGAGGTCTGTGAGCATCTGATGAATCCCACCTCCCCAGTGCTTTCCAGAACACAGCTAGCCTCTGCCTGGACTCACCCTCCCCTGAGTAGGCACCGGTGCTAGTCTGGCACATGGATTCCCTGGTTATGTTCTTTGACAGTTTTAAGTGAGGAGTTCAGCTTATTTTGGGTAAATTCCCTGGAAGTCCACGCTCACATTTCAAACTAGGCAGTGTGGCCACATTTTCCAATGAGTAAGTCCCTCGAATATAACTCCTGGTAAAGATCCCATGGGTATCAGAGAGAAATGTGCCATCACACGTGATAAACAGCAGGCCCCACTGCCTGGGGCTTGCCTCATCTGTCGGAGCTGGGGTATTTTGGAAGCTTGACCTCATTTGCAAACACGCGTCTGCACATACCTTCAGTCAGATGCAACTTTTCCGTTCCCGATTTAGCTCCTCGTTTTCCTCCTCCCGAAATGAAAGATGTGACTAAAGAGTCAGACTTTTAATAGATTCTCATTCCAGGTATGTTCCGGGGGAGTTCCCCTGTCTCTAAACTAACTTCCTGTTGACTCAGGATGAGCCGGGCCTGGGAGACTGAGCAGGGACGCACCAGGATGATAGATAAGGGCTGCGTGTTAGACGGGGTCAGCCGTTTCTTCATGCTTGCACTGTGACCCAGACCCAGAGAGCTTAGCGACCTGCCTGACCGTGCGCTATTACATGAATGCAGGCTGCCTGTCCTGTCAGTGTCTCCGCTTAACCCCTGGACTCCATCCTATCTGCAATTGACCTGTTTTTACAGTACCACCCCTGAGCCTTTCACTCTCTGGGTGGGACCTGGAAAAAGCGTCAGGCATTTCGCCCCCGGCGTGCACTGAGGAAAAGAGGAGGTTTCTGTGATTTTTAAATAGAAGCTTTGGAAAAGGGGTGGCAGCCCTTTATGTAAACCTCCCACAGACTTCTAGATCCGGCTGCCATCACTGTGACACCCTGTGTCCACTTAGCCTGGATTAGACGTAAGTTCTGTCCCTGAGTTCTTCCCTGTCGGCCCTCAACAGCCTGCTGAAACACATCACCACTTTCTAGGGCCTTTACTGAGACACGCCGCATTGATTTCTCCAGTGTGTGGCTCAGGGTCCCATACATAGAAGTCCCATCAACGCCCTGCAGCTGATGATGGCACACAGAGAACTGGTGGATGGACAGGGACTTGTGACCCTGGGACGTCCCCATCTCCATACTTCTTTAGCGAAGTGCTGAGGAGGAAGCATTGATGGCTTCGTCTATGTGAAAAGGTCGCGGTTCTGTGAGTCCTACGTGCTCATCTGTAGGGCAGGCTGGGCTCGGGAGCCTCCTGAGGAAGTCTCTTTTGGAAGAGAGTTTCTGTCTCCCGTCCGCCAGCCGGTATGGGAAATAGTGTGAGTGCCCACAACCATTCATGCTTTCATCAGGAGGAAATTAGCAAATTTCCTTTTACAAGTTCACGTCAGAACAGAACAAGACCCACTGTTTGCTAGTGTGCTCGCAACTGCAGATCCATGAATTTTAGGGAATCGGGGCTTTTGCTGACAAAATGCTTCACAAAAGCAACTGAAGGAAGGAGAGGTTTATTCAGCTCACAGACTGAGGACTCTGTCTGTCTTGGCAGAAAAGTCACAGTGGCGAGAGCCTGAGGCAGCTTGTTACATTGCGTCTGCAGTTAGAAGAGAGACAAGGCTGGTGTTCAGCTTGCTTTGTCCTTTGTATGCAGCCCAAGACCCCAGCCCATCGAACGGTGCTGCCCATATTTAGTATACGCCTTCCCACCTCAGCTCATCAAATCCACAAACTCCCTCACAGATGTTCCCAGAGGTCAAGTAGACAATTGATACTAATCATCACACAGGTCAAGAGCTCTGAAGAGGCAGGAAGTCTCAGGCTTCGGGATCCGGCTATTCCTGGGGTGGCTCCTCATCTGCCTGTGACCTTCCAAGAAGAAAATGAACTAACTTGATAAGAATAGTCAGGCTGTATTAAAAGGTGATACAGGTGATACACAGCTGGGTGGTGACTGCGCACACCTTTAATGCCAGCACTCGAGAAGCAGAGGCAGGCTGATCTCTGTGAGTTCAAGGTCAACCTGGTCTACAGAGTGAGTTCCAGGACAGGCCCCAAAACTACAGAGAAACTGTCTCAAAAGAAAAGAAAAAGAAAGTCATACACAGACACCCATGCTCTTACTCTCAAAGGACTTGTATAATTTGATTATCCTCCCTTATAACCCAAGTTAAAGCATCATTTAGATGGCGGGAAGTTTGGAACAAATACCTGAACTACGCCACAGTGAGCTCAAGAGGAGGGGATTCTGGGCTGATGATGTCAGGGACCCATGGTGATGATGTCTGAGACCCATGGTGGAAGTGGCTACATGCTCTGCCAAGACCCAGGACCCCTCCTCATAAGAAATGTTGTCATTAGAACCCAGCCATTAGGCCAGGTGTGGGGGTGCACACCTTTAATCTCAGCACTTGGGAGGCAGAGACAGGTGGATCTCTATGAGTTTGAGGCTAGCCTGGTCTACAGAGTAAGTTCCAGGATAGTTATATAGAGAGAACTTGTCTCAAAATCAAACAAAACCAAAATCCGAGCAAACGAAAGAACCCAGCCATTGTTTTAGAGTGCCTGCAATACTTCAACTGTTGAGTCAAGACCTGAGAAGAGACTAAGTATATCCCAAGCCTCGGACACCTATCTCTCATGAGTGCCTGAGATATTCAGCACCTGTAAATAGCTGAAAAACCACCTCCTGCTTCTGGCCCACACAGAAAAGAAGCAAAGAAACAAATTGCAGAAGTGAATATGAGGGCCTGGAGAGCTGTCCCAGCAGTCGAGGACACCTGCTGCTCGTGGAGTTTTAGTCTTGGTCCGCAGGATGGCTTGCTATCATCATAACACCAGTTCCAGGGGCTCTGAGGTCCTCTTCTGGCCTTCTTGGCACCTGATACGTATGTAGTCCATAGGTGATTGACTGACTTCACGGTTGTTAAACCTGAAGCTCCAACAACTATCTACCCATTTCAATTCGGCTAAGCACAGTAAGTATTCTGGGGAACCCATGGATGCAACGTCATGTGAGGTACCCTAGCAAGTGTGGTTTCCTCTTTAAGATGATCATAGGTTAGAATAAAACATCTCATCTACACTTAACCTAAATAGCAGATACAGCATGGTGTCTCAAGAAAGAAACAAAGGCAGAGTTTCACCTGAGCCCTTGAACCTTTCCCACCGAAACTAACCCGCTATCATGTATGTTCATCTGAGGTGGGAAGGGCAGAGCCACAGTCTCCACAGGATTCTTCATGTGGTTAATGGTTTCATCACAAGCCAGAAGATGCACCGGTTTAGAATTATGAGACGGAAAGGGTCACGCTGGATTGCACTGCCTGCAAGATTTTCTAAGGAGAATTTTTTTGGTGGTGGTGGTGTTTTTGTTTTTGTTTGTTTGCTTGTTTTTTACACATGATCTCTCTAGGTAACCCTGGTTGCTTTGGAACTAGATATATAGACCAGTCTGGCCTCAAATTCACAGAGATCTGTCTGCCTCTAAAGAGAACTTTATGGTAGGTAAACCGCCAAGAATTGGTAGACTTCTAAGGGCTGGAGATGTGAGGAAGGCGCCAATCAGAGAAGATACTGTGATCATAGTCTGCATGATAAGAAAGCACAAGGACACTCTTAGGGAACTAGGACCAATCACTAATCCAATAAGACCGTGAGGGAGTCAAGGTGGATTGAGGCTCACAAGCT